GCATGTCTGTCCGAAAAGTCAAAATAAGCCAAAAATACACCAACATATTTGTTTATAACACTTTTGGACTGTTTCCACAAATAAACTGCACAGATCAAGAACTTTTCCCTCCTGATTCAGAAAAGAAACACTGGAGAAAGCAATATTATGGATGGAGGACTCGTATTTTAGGTGCAAACAATGGTGTATTTTGATTATCACAGACAGCTTCTCAATCCACAAGATGTTAACTGATGGACTGTGTGGAACGGAATCTGGATTACTTGTGGATTATTAAGATGTTTTTAATCAGCTGTTAGAACATTCACACGGCACCCATTGACTGCACAGGAGCCATTGATGAGCAAGTCATACAATGCTGAATTTCTACAAATCTGTTCTGATGAAGAAACAAACTCGTATACATCTTGGATAACCTGAGGGTGAGTACATTTTCATTTTTGAATGACCTATTGGGTGAAAATTTCACATTTGTATTTCAGTATCAATATTATTCCTACTACAATTGTAATTAATAACAGTAAAACTTGGATCAACTGAGGTGCACAGCATCTATTCTTTACCTTTTTAATAACTTCCATCTGTTCCTCCCTCCATTCAGGCTTGTTCTTCTTGGCGTTAGTAAAGAACTCATTAACCCGCTGCTCTAGCTGATCCATCGCATCTGAACAAAAGAACAGGGGCAGGAGTGAGTCAAGAACCCAACACTCAGCACACATTCACACTGATTGGCTACTGTGGAGCCTATGGTCAGATCACTGAAATAAATCTTTTGACAGAGGAGGTGGTGTAGCCTAGTGCCTAGATATCTGCGTAGTAGATCATTATAAGGTTGTAGGTTCAACCCCCACAAAGGGTGAACCCTCAACCATCACAACTGAAGATAAGGTATTTAAAAGTAAAAAAAATGTCCAGGACACCCTCACCTCAAAGCAGTAATAAAAAAAAGTCACAATTAAAAAAAAAAAAACTAAAATATTTGTATAGTTGAAACTTATGTTTACTTTATATATATATATATAT